TAACTCCTGTTTTCAGGAGAGATACAGGGCCTTTTTAAAGCAGCTGCTCTGTTCACAAGAAACTAATCTACTTAGTTACTGCAGGAAACATGCAGCTTTATATTAATCATACAACAAAGAGGATGAAGGGAAAGTTCCACAGAACAGACAGGAAACAAGAGACAGGGAAAAAAGCAGCTCTATCCCTTATCTCTCTGGGCAACTGTCTGACTCCCTGTTGACCCCTGTCTTATTTCTAGTTTGTGAAGAAAAATATATTTATGAGGATTTTTTTCTTATAATTTCAGACAGCATGAGTTGCTTTACATTTCCTTTTGCTCTCTGGGTCTCTCAGTTCTGCAGCTTCTCCCAGTGTCTGATGTTGCAAGAAGGCTCAAATCCTCCTGACTTCCTTCAGAACATCATTAGTAAAAGTAAGGGTCTCCTAAAATCCATGTCACTTCATCAGCAAACCCTGTCCTGACATTTTATTAGAGTTTCAACATTAGCATAATGCTCTTTGGGTAACAAGGATCCAGCTTCCCCCAGAATGATACACTCTCTGCTGGAGACAGCAGATAGCTCATGAAACAACTGATGCATGTCAGGTTCTTTTGGCTTAACTCTTTCTTTGGAGTGATATACAAAAACTGATTTTGAACAGCATATTTTACAGCTCTCTCACCATCTTGGCCTAAGATAAAATCTGAACGAGTTCTTGTCATCCTTTCCACTGAAAACTGGTGAAGGTCTGCTCTTGTCAGAGCTCATGGAGGTAGACATCAGCTAAAAAAGGGATTGACTTGTCCAGACTGTTTTTAACTATTTAATGTATTTTAACTATTTATTCACCTCACTCTTAAAAAGTGTAGGTTCTAGATGGAGCAGAGATCTTCAGTAATATTTTGTTCCATTCTTATTTCAGGGAGCTTTAAAGCCTGTGACTGACCCTCCAGAAGAACGTACTTAAGAAAGATTTGTCTGAGCTCTGTTGGAGGTTGGTTGGTTGTCAGCTCCCTTCTGTGTCCCTCTGAGCCCCTGGAACATGCAGCTGCCACTAATACAGGCAGGCAGAGTCTATCTCATGGCAAAATTCTGGCATTCATAAGAACAAAGGACCACCAGGATTAAATGCTGCCATGTCTAGCACTGCACATGCTGCTTTCTCCTGCTCTGGGTGCTTATTAGCTGTGGCTTCCACACACACCAAGCTGTGTGGCTGGAGTGCAGATAACTCATCTTGTCTGGAAAGTTAAAGATGGTTGCTGTGACCCACAGCCCCTGTTGGTGTCACAGCCCTGCTCTGCTGCTCCTGCCCTCGCCCCAGGAGCTCACAGCGCTGCTGCTGCCTTTGAGAAAGAAAAGAAGATAGAGAGGTGAAAACATACCCACTTTTTTGCTATTTTTCATGTTATACTACAAAACTCTCCCAGCTACACAGGACGAATGAGACAAGATTGGTGCTTTTCCCAGATTTATGTATGCCAGACTGCTCCACATGACTGAAATCCATTCAGATGCCATAAACATGTCTTTTATGGAAACAAGTTTCCTCTTTTCCTTGGTCCTGTAGCCTAACTGTGCTTTAGTCTCAAAGGATTGCCCACCATTTTCTGACACTGAGTCCATCCTGCCTTTGGTTTTCCCAGATCCACCTCTTACAGCAGCAGATATTCAGCATCTCTTTTGGCTGAGACCATTGTCAGTCCTCACTGCAACAGCCTGGATAGACATGTTTTCCATGGCTGTGTGAAAAAACCCCAGAGGTTAATGACAGTCTAGTGATAGTCCAGCCCTTTCCTAATAGCACTCCATTTCCTCCTCTTCTCTAACCTAGCTTGCTGGTATGCAGTAAATTTGCACAGGTAAAACAAAGCTGTGTTTTTCTGGGCTGTTTATCTCAATCAGTTTCCTCTGAGGCAATGAACAATCCTGATTTCAGGTGTTTTAGCTAGACCTCATTCTCCAGATTACTCCTGATGTTCGTGTTATGCCCTCAGCCCTCCTTTAGAGGAGCTGAATACACACACAGAGGAGTTCTGGAGGGTGTGCTTTGTAAGGAACTGAGATCAAAAATTCCTGGTGGTTTTGTCTTTTTGCTAATTTTTTTTTTCTTTTTTTTCTTTTGGGGTGTCAGGTTTACCAGGGGGAAGACATGACTTAATCAATGAATTAGTCCTGAATTTACAAATTCGTAAATTTTTGAATTTACTGAATTTGTAAATTCAGGACCTATTGCTTTCCACATGTAGCCTAAGCACAAACAACTGAAGCTTCTGTACCTGTATCCATCATCCCTCTGCTGCTACAGGCAAGAGCCAACCTTACACCCCTTTAGCATCTGGCATGTATCAACTCCTCTGTGTGTTTCAGCTTTGAAACCTAAAATGCTCAGAGCTTTTTTCACCTTTAGGGCCTTGAGTTCATACCCTTAACTTGAAATATTCTTTGATGTGTATTTTAGCATTTTTTGGCTAAATACCCTTGCTTGAGGCGTTTAGTTATATTTGATACTGAGACATTTTAATTTAAATAACTGATTAGATGTTAACTCTCCTGTGACAGAAGCACACATTAGGAACCAGGGCCCATTCTATTATGCTTCTGCATTTTCATTCCTTTGAGCTGTTCTTACTATGTGGATACAAATCTTAAGTCATTCAGTGCTTACAGGGTTGCTGTTAATCATTCTGCTTTAAGGCCTCTGCAGCACTTCTAATTCTGTTTACAGATGCAAAGAGGTGCCTGAGCTCTTACCTTCTGTTGCTGAAGAAAATGTTACAGGAGGATAAGGAAGCCTTAAAACTCAAACATGTATCTCTGCCTTTAAAAATCCGACCCCAGGAGCTTGTAGCCCACCAAAGAGCATCCCCATGCTTCCAATAAATGTGGCAGCATCTGCATTTTGTGGCAATAAATGATTGGCACTTCACATAGGATCATTTGGAAATGACCTTTAATGCTGGGGCTGAGATACAAGTGATTGCTAAGATGCCACAATCACTCTGGTTAACTTCAAGGTGTTCTAAAGAACAAGAGGCACTTCCAGAGATGGCTGAACCCTCTAAGCATCTCCACTGCCTTTGGTACTCTGATTAGGGATAAAGCAGTGCTCCTGAATTGTGGCGTATCAGTCATGCTTAAACTCAGTTGGAATAAAGTCAGACCAGATTTATCAGTGTGAAAATCCAAGTGTGATGTTTGGAGATGAACTTGGAGTGAAATAAATCTCCATTCAGAAATGTGCTCAGCACCACATCTAAATATGAAACCTTTGCATGATAAATGTGCCTTGTTAAGAGGTTATTGCACAATACTGCAGCATTCAGTAATTGAGGTTTTCCACTCAATTCAGTAATTTTGCTGGGTTTTTTCCCCAAACATGAGAAGCTGCCTACATTAACAGACAGTGTTGCATGCACGGTTCTGATAGGATTTCCTTAAAAGAATCCCTGAGAAAATACTTGACTGACCAGACAGATTGCTTTCCAGTGATGAGATGTGATGTGCTGTCAGTCTTCTCTTCCTCAGGAACAAGATTTTTGACAGAGAACTAGAGGAAGGTCACATCCTGTCAAATGTTTGTCACATGGAAAAGGATAAGGGGAAGGGTTGCAAAAATTATCTAAAGTAGAATCTAAGAGCAGGTGCTGAGTTTGTGGAGTGACAGAAGCTGAGTTAAGAACACAGTTATATTTCTTACCTGACAAAGTACTGTTGTTTCCTTGTGTATTAATTTTCTTTCACTCATCAAGTGGTATTTTTAAAAAGGAAAAAATATGTGATAAAAATGGTAGTTTCAGAAGTTTAAAGAAGTAAAGTAACCCTAAGTAACCCTAGTTTTGCATCCAATATTATGTTAAAAAAGTTATTTGCCTGTATGTAAAATATGCAGAATACATTAAAACTGCAAAGCATATGTATTCCAAATGCTGCCATACTTCTTTAAAGTGATTTATAGACAGCCTTGCCAGTTACATTTTTCTTCTCTCCCTTTTCAAAAGGCAAAAAAAAAAAAAAGTCTTAAAAACTCTTGTTCTGAATAGACAGGCATTGTTTACTTGTGCACTGTAATTTTCTTTTTGGTTTTTTCCTGCGTGATTTTCCTTAGAGGAGGCACTGACAAGGTACCAGAGTGGCTTAACTGTGATTCTGTGGGCAAGTGACAGCAAGAGAAGCTGTGTTGGGACTCATATCCCAGCTCACAGAGGAGGAAACCTGAAACTTGAAAAGAAACACTAAATATAGTTTGGGTTTGTGCAGAAGCTTTTTAATTGCAGATTCAAGTGGTCAGTTCAATGAAATTTGTAACCCCAGGATGAGTATTCGTAGTCCATCTGAAATTCTTCTGACACACTCAAGTTAAGGAAAAAAAAAAAACCCAGTAAATTAGTGGCAATATTTTAACAGGTATTACCCAAATAGCAGGTCCTGGTTTTCTATTTGATTTCTCAATGCAGTGTCTAGAAGAAAGGAATCAATTAATGAATTAAGTGCTTTAACATTATTTATTTTAAGGATTTGTAGCAAAAGCCAAGAGGATATGTGAGTGTCAGAACATTTCTGAGGCAATTTGTCAGTTATCACATCTATATCTCACCGATGGCCTCGCAAGGGATGTTTCACCTGGGAAACTGTTGTATAATATCTGCACAAACCCATTGACTTCAAAGAAGAACATCTTTTCCACAAGCAATTCCTTATAAGAATTCTCAAAACAGCAGAGTTGGAAACCTAAACAGTAAGTTTTCTGAGGCTCCTACCTCAACTGAAAAATGCAGGAAATTTCTGGTGGAATGCAAATTAATCAGAGAGCACTCTCTGTTCTCTGGGAGGAGAATTAACTGAATTCTGAAATGCCAAGAAGAATCCTGCCCTCAGGCTTGCTGCCTCCCAAATTTGATTTCTTGTTGTTTCAGAGAAACTTAAAAAAAGTATCTAAGTTATTGGATGTCCATAAAAGGTCATCCCTTTGAATGTATTTGATATTTACAGAGTTTTTGTGTGTGTGGTTTGATTTTTCCTTTGCTCCTCAGTACTACTGATACGCCTCGTGCATCGCTCTGAGCACACTAATCCACTCAATGGAAATGACATATTTCTGATGTCAGTAATTGCATTGTTCAATATCAAGTGCAATGATCTCTGCAAGTATTTCTGCTTAAATACCAACTACTACTCTAAAATGTCAGCATTTTAATTGGTTTCTGTTTAGACGACTCATGCCAAGCGTACACAAAGTGGATCTTGTTTCTGCACCTCACAAAAGGACCATTCAAAACCCCAACAAATTCAAAGCAGGTAAGATCAAGTTCATCACATCTTTGCAGTTCCAGGACAGTCAATTCTTTCTCTGCTTTTCTAATTCAGGTAATGCTTTCATGTGGCTGTGATTTTCAAGTCCAGTGGATAAAAATTAAAAACAATGAGAGGCTTATTTGTGCACTTGGAGGAGCTCAACGCTGTGCAATTGTTTGGAAGTTTGGATTGCCTATTCATGGCAAACAGCATCTGTGCTCAATTACACTCCATCCATCAGGAGGTAAGGCTTTCAGAAGTAATGAAAGCATCTAAGAGATGCTTTGCACTAGAGAGTAATGATTTCTCAAAAAGGCAGACAATTGGGTTGATTCACAGGTACTGCAGAAGAGAAAATGTTCCAGATGAAATGGAAATTATTTCATGAAACATCTCAGGATTTCACAGAAAGAAGGGGAATATTATTACCAATTATTCTCTATGAAATGAGTTTGGTAACACACCATCATCTAAAAAGGAAAAGTGAAAGGTTGCTAAATTGGATATTTAGATTTTGCTAATGAGAATGGAGGGAGTTGATGAATGTTGAATCACTCCTTTTTAAACAAAGATTATCATTCATTCTCCTTTTTGAACTGACAGATGATGTTTCATGTTGAAGTGAAGCTTCATGACTTTTGATCAAGCCCGCTGAAAATAGCATTCTGCTGCGTAAACTGCATATTCTGTTATAACACGTTGCACTATGAGTCATGGGATGAAAATTTGGGATGATCTGCAATCCTCTGCCTTTTTGAGGGATTTGAGGTTTCATGTTTGAAGCATATGTGCCATGACATGGCTGCATCACATTACTCAACAATGAGTTTAAAGGCTTCAAAACAAAAATATCTGTATTTAGTATCCTTTTGTTTGCTTAACACTGTCTGAAGAAAATACATGGTACATATCTATGCTGAGTTTTGTGTCTCATGTTAAAATCAGACAGCTGCCTAGCCAGATATGACCTGACCAGTATTTAGCAAAGATAATCCCCTCAGAGGTGTTGCAGAGCTTGATTACAGAGATAGGGACCTCACAGGATATTCACTGGCAGTACATTCACATTTTGGGATGCTACCAAGGGAAATCAAGGCTCTTGTTTCCCTGCAATCAGTGCCAGACAAACTGATGTCCTTTGTAGAGGTGTGTTCCAAGTATAGCCATTACTTCACATTTTGGACAATAATATTCAGGACAGACTAAATTCTGAGTTTAAAAATTCTTCTTGGAATTACAATCTTTTGAGCAACTTGTTAAAAAATAAATGTCCTGTTTCACAAATTGAATTTGTGATGGCCTCTTCCAACTCCCAAAAGCAGGGCAGTGGAAGACAAAATAAACCGATCTGGCACAGCAGATGAGACAGGTTGAAGGTGATATTTCCCCCAGAGAAGGGAAGTAGGTGAATTTCTCCTGCCCTCAGCTGCATCATCACTTGTTCCTTCCTTGTGGCTCCTTTTCTTAGCATGGAATTTGAGCTTTACAGATAATAGTAACCAGTGTGAAGAGCTGCTTAAACTCCTCCCCTCACTTCCCCCATAACTGAGATTTGTGGTGGCTGGACTTCAGGCTGAAAACAGCATCACTAAAAATCTCAGAGGTGTTATGGATGCAATTTTAAAAACATTTTTGTGTGTTCTACGCGTCCACACGTAACTGAGGAGAGATTGTTAAGAATTTAGAACTGAGGAGAAATTTTCCTGCAAGTAGAACAGAGTTGCAAGGCACAAGCTGGGAAATGGCTCTCAGGATTTTTGGAGCAGACTTTGTGGATGTAGGCAAATGCACAGGATTATCTGGTGGGCTTTGTGTGTCTCACTGTTATCGACCAAAGAGGAAGGAAAATACTGAGGCTACTCATTCATTTATAGGAAATACATGATAAACAGTCCAGAAAGTGCTTTGGTCGTTAGTCAAAAGGACACATGAGAAGGAAACAATTAGCTGGGCAATCAGATTGTGATACTTTGTTGGTGTTTCCTGCAGGAGTTCATTTGAAATGTGGTTAATTTAACACCGAGCATCCAAATTCTTATCACATCAGCAGGCACAGAATGATAAAGCTACCAATGACCTAAACTAAGAAGTGAAAGAAAGAGAAAATGTCTTAGAAAAACAACCAGATAGTAATTGTGAAAGAAAAAACAAAATCCATTGACCGAATTCAAACAAGAGCTAACAGTTCTGTTCATTCACTCTGAGAGTTAATCCAGTGTTTTCCATCACTGAAAACTTACATAATATACAAGAATCCTAAAATTTTGTCTGTCCTTTTTATTTTTTTTTTGGTTGTTATTTGTACTACTTTGCAGTATCTCAAGTGGCAGACTTTTGACTTTCTGAGCACAGATGTCCTAAAAATAATATATTAAAAAATTGTCAGAGTGAAATAATTGATTTCCTTTGGACACCATTCTGTCAGTGCCACATTTAACAAATTAACTGTCACTTGCTAAAGTATTTTCATATATCCACTGGTAGATTTAGCAAGGCAAGATAATAATGACTTTTCTTCCAACTCTAAAATAGAAGATACCTTTTTTTTTCTAACTGAAATATGTAATCAAGTGTGCAAAATAGATGGGAATGTTTAAAAATCCCCAGCGGGCTGGATATGGCTCCCTGTCACATTGCTTGGTCAAGAATAGTTTTCACAGTGAAATTCTACATCTTCTCAACAGTTCCATCATCCCACCACATCCTACATCTTCTCTCTCTTGAAACAGATGATGCACCAGAGGCTTTCCACAGTGAGATTAATTTCTGCAAATCAGAGACAATGGCACAATGTCTAATGCACACAAAGGAACTGGGTATAATGGAATCCTTGAGAATTTCTCAGGGTTTTGAGAGTGGAAGAGTTAGCAGCAGGTCAGGTGTTCCACATGGGATAGCTGCTTTCCTGAGAGGATGGTTGCTGGCCCCTGTGCTGTCTGGGAGCAGACCTGTGTTCTCAGGAAGGTCCTGCACTGTGGCTGGCAAATTCTTTGTGCTGTGATTTTTCATTTTCACTATAATATGTATATCTGTTCCAGAGTTCTTGGAATCCTGATATACAGCCCCACAGCATGAACACTCTCAAAGGTATGGACAAGCACTCTTCTGGATGCTTTCTATGGAAACAGGTGTTTTGGGGTTTTTCTTAAACAACTGTTTAAAGAATGGCAAATCATAGTGGGAAATGCCAAAATATAACATGTCCAAAAAGAAATTTAGCAGAGAAATTTTAATAAGAGACCTCTATTCTGTGCTCATGGATGGTCTGTCTGACCTTGTTCCTTCCATTCAATTAGTGCTAATTACTGGTGTCTCTTCATGATTCAGTTCAGCACTGTACTTATACTTCATTAACAAAAAGTCCTCATGGAGAAAAATGTTTTCCATGAACACAATAGGCTAAATCCTTGGATCATAACTAAGTCTTTGTCCAGAAAATCACACTTGTCCACCCTCCCCTCTTTCTACATAAGTGTTTACTTTGTAGTCCCATTTTTATTGCCCCCATACATTCCTGGCAAAGCCTCCCACTCCTCATTTGGTTCTTCCCTAGTTGCAGCCTGCAGAAGCAAGTCCCAGACAGTGCTCCCCAAGCAGCCAGCAATTAATTTACCTATTTTTTCAAAGCTAGGTTATGAGAGGCACATGTTCATTACTGCCCAATTTAGAAGCAAATTTTCTAGTTCCTCTGTTAAACTGAGATTACTCTAGGTCTTGGATTGCTTACTTTTTTGTTTTTCTAGATATAAGTATTAATTTTTTTTGTTTCTTGTCTGGGAAAAAGAGGGAAAAAAAGCATATATTTTAAGAAAGATTGGAAGTGCCCCTCTATGTTTTGTTTCCTTCTTTTGGAGTGATCATGCTGAACTCCAAGTGAACTGGTGAGAGGGATGTGTTTATGTTCTTTTCCACATACAACTTTTTTTTTTGGTTTTGAGGGAAATGACATCCATTTATCTGGAGAGCTCTGTGTGGGCTCTTGTCAAGCAAGGAGCACGTTGTAGAGTGAGGAAAGGAGCCAGACAGGTATTTGTATTGTTCCTAGGAACAGCTTCACTGAGAGCTCTCCTGTAAACACGGCTCCTGACAGTGTGGAATAGCAAAGACAGGAGAGCAGCAGGCTGCTGATTAATGAGCTGCTGAGTGGTGGTGGATGCCTGTGAGTCTGCTGCACGTCCCTGGAAATGTGAGATACCCAGGTCTGCGGTGATCAGCACACCTCTCACACGCCATTATTTGATCTCTAAACTGCCAGAGGTGTAGGCAGCAAACTACAGATTACAGGCATCACTTGAGATGTGCTGGGGCACAAATTTAAGGGATGCAGGGGAAAAAAAATGTAGCAAATGCCTTCCAAACAAATACATTTGCTCTTTTTTGTGGAGCTCAGGGCAAGGGCAATCTCTGTCTGTATGCACTGAGAGCATACAGCTCAGGGAAAGCTGGAGCCAGTGGTCTCACTATAAGCCCAAGTTGGCTAGATCAGAAATATGATATTTGATTACAGGAAGAAATATTACACAAATTGATAGAGCATTGAACAGACTTATGGCTGTCAGCTCAGATGATTGTGGAACAGTATATCAGACAGAGATAATTGTATAATTGTAAGGTTGAAAGCAGTAAATGCTCTCATTGCCTGTGCTGGCTGCCTTGGCCACATGGGAGATCCTCAGAGCAATTTGAGAATAAAGGCATTATATCAGCATCATGCAAGGAGATGAGAACAGACATCCATTGCTCCTTTAAGCAGCTGTTGTGTTCCATATCCATCACAGGATCTCTGGATGGATATGGCACTTTAGCTGGAATTTTAAATCAGGAGGTGGCCAGCTACTGGCTCTGCCTCTGGATGTCAGCTGTGCAGGTTATCTGGGCAGAGGATGCAGGAGGAGATTTGGTAACAATTTTTAAATTTTTTAACCCCAAACCTTCATATAAGAACAGTCTGTAACAGAGTGGCAGAGTGTTTGTAAATACCACAGCTGGTATTTTTATTAATAGAGCACACTTGTTCTGCTGAGATTAGAGAGAGAACACTATTAATTGCTATTTTTAATTAACTAATATCTGTGTAAGATTTCCAGGCTGCACTGGTACAAATGTGAATTGTTAGTCCATTTTCCAGGAACTGGACCAAAAAAAGGAACTAATAAAGCAGCACATCATTAAGTAGACTCTAGCTTCAACTCATAAAAGACCATTAGAACAGACTAATCTAATTTTCTTCATAATAGAAAACAT